TCTTTTTTGGCTTTTTTGGAGCTTAAAAGAGCCTTTCTTCTATTCCATCATGATGTCTGCTTCCTCTCTAAATGTAATATTAGCTAATATGTTAGCATAATAAAAACAAGTAAATATAAGTAGGTTTAAAGAAAAAATTAACAAAAATCTAAAACTAAATGTAGTATTAACTTACACATAAATGTAGTAGAAATAAAACACAGATTCAAACTAAAATATTAGCATAATATAAAACTAGAAAATATAAGTAGTTTGAAAGTAGACATTAACAATTTAAACTTTAAAACTGAATGTAGTTTAACTTACACCTAAATGTAGTAGAATTAAAATCTTTATAGCCTGTAACCTATCTACATTGTCATTGTTTTGCTGTCAACAATGCCTTTGTTTGCTTAGGTTGTAAACAGTAGTTAGTTTATAAATCTAATTTTAAAAAATGTCTAAATGCTAGCACTAATTTAATAGATATTCTAATTAAAAATAAAATATAAAATCATAACGACTGTAGTAGAATTAAAATAAAAGATTTAAACTAATATGTTAGCATAAAAAAAACTAGTAAATATAAGTAGGTTTAAAGTAGAAATTAACTAAAATTTAAAACTAAATGTAGTATTAACTTACACATAAATGTAGTAGAAATAAAACACAGATTCAAACTAAAATGTTAGCATAATATAAAACTAGTAAATAAATGCAGGTTTAATATAGTGAACACTAAAATAATTGTAATGTCCCGAGACATGACGTTAAACTGCGCTCCTCTTTTTTGGCTTTTTTGGAGCTTAAAAGAGCCTTTCTTCTATTCCATCATGATGTCTGCCTCCTCTCTAAATGTAATATTAGCTAATATGTTAGCATAATAAAAACTAGTAAATATAAGTAGGTTTAAAGTAAAAATTAACTAAAATCTAAAAATAAATGTAGTATTAACTTACACATAAATGTAGTAGAAATAAAACACAGATTCAAACTAAAATATTAGCATAATATAAAATTAGAAAATATAAGTAGTTTGAAAGTAGACATTAACAATTTAAACTTTAAAACTGAATGTAGTTTAACTTACACCTAAATGTAGTAGAATTAAAATCTTTATAGCCTGTAACCTATCTACATTGTCATTGTTTTGCTGTCAACAATGCCTTTGTTTGCTTAGGTTGTAAACAGTAGTTAGTTTATAAATCTAATTTTAAAAAATGTCTAAATGCTAGCACTAATTTAATAGATATTCTAATTAAAAATAAAATATAAAATCATAACGACTGTAGTAGAATTAAAATAAAAGATTTAAACGAATATGTTAGCATAATAAAAACTAGTAAATATAAGTAGGTTTAAAGTAGAAATTAACTAAAATTTAAAACTAAATGTAGTATTAACTTACACATAAATGTAGTAGAAATAAAACACAGATTCAAACTAAAATGTTAGCATAATATAAAACTAGTAAATAAATGCAGGTTTAATATAGTGAACACTAAAATAATTGTAATGTCCCGAGACATGACGTTAAACTGCGCTCCTCTTTTTTGGCTTTTTTGGAGCTTAAAAGAGCCTTTCTTCTATTCCATCATGATGTCTGCCTCCTCTCTAAATGTAATATTAGCTAATATGTTAGCATAATAAAAACTAGTAAATATAAGTAGGTTTAAAGTAAAAATTAACTAAAATCTAAAAATAAATGTAGTATTAACTTACACATAAATGTAGTAGAAATAAAACACAGATTCAAACTAAAATATTAGCATAATATAAAATTAGAAAATATAAGTAGTTTGAAAGTAGACATTAACAATTTAAACTTTAAAACTGAATGTAGTTTAACTTACACCTAAATGTAGTAGAATTAAAATCTTTATAGCCTGTAACCTATCTACATTGTCATTGTTTTGCTGTCAACAATGCCTTTGTTTGCTTAGGTTGTAAACAGTAGTTAGTTTATAAATCTAATTTTAAAAAATGTCTAAATGCTAGCACTAATTTATTAGATATTCTAATTAAAAATAAAATATAAAATCATAACGACTGTAGTAGAATTAAAATAAAAGATTTAAACGAATATGTTAGCATAATAAAAACTAGTAAATATAAGTAGGTTTAAAGTAGAAATTAACTAAAATTTAAAACTAAATGTAGTATTAACTTACACATAAATGTAGTAGAAATAAAACACAGATTCAAACTAAAATGTTAGCATAATATAAAACTAGTAAATAAATGCAGGTTTAATATAGTGAACACTAAAATAATTGTAATGTCCCGAGACATGACGTTAAACAGCGCTCCTCTTTTTTGGCTTTTTTGGAGCTTAAAAGAGCCTTTCTTCTATTCCATCATGATGTCTGCTTCCTCTCTAAATGTAATATTAGCTAATATGTTAGCATAATAAAAACTAGTAAATATAAGTAGGTTTAAAGTAGAAATTAACTAAAATTTAAAACTAAATGTAGTATTAACTTACACATAAATGTAGTAGAAATAAAACACAGATTCAAACTAAAATGTTAGCATAATATAAAACTAGTAAATAAATGCAGGTTTAATATAGTGAACACTAAAATAATTGTAATGTCCCGAGACATGACGTTAAACTGCGCTCCTCTTTTTTGGCTTTTTTGGAGCTTAAAAGAGCCTTTCTTCTATTCCATCATGATGTCTGCTTCCTCTCTAAATGTAATATTAGCTAATATGTTAGCATAATAAAAACTAGTAAATATAAGTAGGTTTAAAGTAGAAATTAACTAAAATTTAAAACTAAATGTAGTATTAACTTACACATAAATGTAGTAGAAATAAAACACAGATTCAAACTAAAATGTTAGCATAATATAAAACTAGTAAATAAATGCAGGTTTAATATAGTGAACACTAAAATAATTGTAATGTCCCGAGACATGACGTTAAACTGCGCTCCTCTTTTTTGGCTTTTTTGGAGCTTAAAAGAGCCTTTCTTCTATTCCATCATGATGTCTGCTTCCTCTCTAAATGTAATATTAGCTAATATGTTAGCATAATAAAAACTAGTAAATATAAGTAGGTTTAAAGTAAAAATTAACTAAAATTTAAAACTAAATGTAGTATTAACTTACACATAAATGTAGTAGAAATAAAACACAGATTCAAACTAAAATATTAGCATAATATAAAACTAAAAAATATAAGTAGTTTGAAAGTAGACATTAACAATTTAAACTTTAAAACTGAATGTAGTTTAACTTACACCTAAATGTAGTAGAATTAAAATCTTTATAGCCTGTAACCTAACTACATTGTCATTGTTTTGCTGTCAACAATGCCTTTGTTTGCTTAGGTTGTAAACAGTAGTTAGTTTATAAATCTAATTTAAAAAAATGTCTAAATGCTAGCACTAATTTAATAGATATTCTAATTAAAAAAAAAAAATAAAATCATAACTACTGTAGTAGAATTAAAATAAAAGATTTAAACTAATATGTTAGCATAATAAAAACTAGTAAATATAAGTAGGTTTAAAGTAGAAATTAACTAAAATTTAAAACTAAATGTAGTATAAACTTACAGATAAATGTAGTAGAAATAAAACACAGATTCAAACTAAAATGTTAGCATAATATAAAATTAGTAAATAAATGCAGGTTTAATATAGTGAACACTAAAATAATTGTAATGTCCCGAGACATGACGTTAAACTGCGCTCCTCTTTTTTGGCTTTTTTGGAGCTTAAAAGAGCCTTTCTTCTATTCCATCATGATGTCTGCCTCCTCTCTAAATGTAATATTAGCTAATATGTTAGCATAATAAAAACTAGTAAATATAAGTAGGTTTAAAGTAGAAATTAACTAAAATTTAAAACTAAATATAGTATTAACTTAAACAAAATGTAGTAGAAATAAAACACACATTGAAACTAAAATGTTAGCATAATATAAAACTAGTAAATAAATGCAGGTTTAATATAGTGAACACTAAAATAATTGTAATGTCCCGAGACATGACGTTAAACTGCGCTCCTCTTTTTTGGCTTTTTTGGAGCTTAAAAGAGCCTTTCTTCTATTCCATCATGATGTCTGCCTTCTCTCTAAATGTAATATTAGCTAATATGTTAGCATAATAAAAACTAGTAAATATAAGTAGGTTTAAAGTAAAAATAAACTAAAATTTAAAACTAAATGTAGTATTAACTTACACATAAATGTAGTAGAAATAAAACACAGATTCAAACTAAAATATTAGCATAATATAAAATTAGAAAATATAAGTAGTTTGAAAGTAGACATTAACAATTTAAACTTTAAAACTGAATGTAGTTTAACTTACACTTAAATGTAGTAGAATTAAAATCTTTAAAGCCTGTAACCTATGTACATTGTCATTGTTTTGCTGTCAACAATGCCTTTGTTTGCTTAGGTTGTAAACAGTAGTTAGTTTATAAATCTAATTTTAAAAAATGTCTAAATGCTAGCACTAATTTAATAGATATTCTAATTAAAAATAAAATATAAAATCATAACGACTGTAGTAGAATTAAAATAAAAGAATTAAACTAATATGTTAGCATAAAAAAAACTAGTAAATATAAGTAGGTTTAAAGTAGAAATTAACTAAAATTTAAAACTAAATGTAGTATTAACTTACACATAAATGTAGTAGAAATAAAACACAGATTCAAACTAAAATGTTAGCATAATATAAAACTAGTAAATAAATGCAGGTTTAATATAGTGAACACTAAAATAATTGTAATGTCCCGAGACATGACGTTAAACTGCGCTCCTCTTTTTTGGCTTTTTTGGAGCTTAAAAGAGCCTTTCTTCTATTCCATCATGATGTCTGCCTCCTCTCTAAATGTAATATTAGCTAATATGTTAGCATAATAAAAACTAGTAAATATAAGTAGGTTTAAAGTAGAAATTAACTAAAATTTAAAACTAAATGTAGTATTAACTTACACATAAATGTAGTAGAAATAAAACACAGATTCAAACTAAAATGTTAGCATAATATAAAACTAGTAAATAAATGCAGGTTTAATATAGTGAACACTAAAATAATTGTAATGTCCCGAGACATGACGTTAAACTGCGCTCCTCTTTTTTGGCTTTTTTGGAGCTTAAAAGAGCCTTTCTTCTATTCCATCATGATGTCTGCTTCCTCTCTAAATGTAATATTAGCTAATATGTTAGCATAATAAAAACTAGTAAATATAAGTAGGTTTAAAGTAGAAATTAACTAAAATTTAAAACTAAATGTAGTATTAACTTACACATAAATGTAGTAGAAATAAAACACAGATTCAAACTAAAATGTTAGCATAATATAAAACTAGTAAATAAATGCAGGTTTAATATAGTGAACACTAAAATAATTGTAATGTCCCGAGACATGACGTTAAACTGCGCTCCTCTTTTTTGGCTTTTTTGGAGCTTAAAAGAGCCTTTCTTCTATTCCATCATGATGTCTGCTTCCTCTCTAAATGTAATATTAGCTAATATGTTAGCATAATAAAAACTAGTAAATATAAGTAGGTTTAAAGTAAAAATTAACTAAAATTTAAAACTAAATGTAGTATTAACTTACACATAAATGTAGTAGAAATAAAACACAGATTCAAACTAAAATATTAGCATAATATAAAACTAAAAAATATAAGTAGTTTGAAAGTAGACATTAACAATTTAAACTTTAAAACTGAATGTAGTTTAACTTACACCTAAATGTAGTAGAATTAAAATCTTTATAGCCTGTAACCTAACTACATTGTCATTGTTTTGCTGTCAACAATGCCTTTGTTTGCTTAGGTTGTAAACAGTAGTTAGTTTATAAATCTAATTTAAAAAAATGTCTAAATGCTAGCACTAATTTAATAGATATTCTAATTAAAAAAAAAAAATAAAATCATAACTACTGTAGTAGAATTAAAATAAAAGATTTAAACTAATATGTTAGCATAATAAAAACTAGTAAATATAAGTAGGTTTAAAGTAGAAATTAACTAAAATTTAAAACTAAATGTAGTATAAACTTACAGATAAATGTAGTAGAAATAAAACACAGATTCAAACTAAAATGTTAGCATAATATAAAATTAGTAAATAAATGCAGGTTTAATATAGTGAACACTAAAATAATTGTAATGTCCCGAGACATGACGTTAAACTGCGCTCCTCTTTTTTGGCTTTTTTGGAGCTTAAAAGAGCCTTTCTTCTATTCCATCATGATGTCTGCCTCCTCTCTAAATGTAATATTAGCTAATATGTTAGCATAATAAAAACTAGTAAATATAAGTAGGTTTAAAGTAGAAATTAACTAAAATTTAAAACTAAATATAGTATTAACTTAAACAAAATGTAGTAGAAATAAAACACACATTGAAACTAAAATGTTAGCATAATATAAAACTAGTAAATAAATGCAGGTTTAATATAGTGAACACTAAAATAATTGTAATGTCCCGAGACATGACGTTAAACTGCGCTCCTCTTTTTTGGCTTTTTTGGAGCTTAAAAGAGCCTTTCTTCTATTCCATCATGATGTCTGCCTTCTCTCTAAATGTAATATTAGCTAATATGTTAGCATAATAAAAACTAGTAAATATAAGTAGGTTTAAAGTAAAAATAAACTAAAATTTAAAACTAAATGTAGTATTAACTTACACATAAATGTAGTAGAAATAAAACACAGATTCAAACTAAAATATTAGCATAATATAAAATTAGAAAATATAAGTAGTTTGAAAGTAGACATTAACAATTTAAACTTTAAAACTGAATGTAGTTTAACTTACACTTAAATGTAGTAGAATTAAAATCTTTAAAGCCTGTAACCTATGTACATTGTCATTGTTTTGCTGTCAACAATGCCTTTGTTTGCTTAGGTTGTAAACAGTAGTTAGTTTATAAATCTAATTTTAAAAAATGTCTAAATGCTAGCACTAATTTAATAGATATTCTAATTAAAAATAAAATATAAAATCATAACGACTGTAGTAGAATTAAAATAAAAGAATTAAACTAATATGTTAGCATAAAAAAAACTAGTAAATATAAGTAGGTTTAAAGTAGAAATTAACTAAAATTTAAAACTAAATGTAGTATTAACTTACACATAAATGTAGTAGAAATAAAACACAGATTCAAACTAAAATGTTAGCATAATATAAAACTAGTAAATAAATGCAGGTTTAATATAGTGAACACTAAAATAATTGTAATGTCCCGAGACATGACGTTAAACTGCGCTCCTCTTTTTTGGCTTTTTTGGAGCTTAAAAGAGCCTTTCTTCTATTCCATCATGATGTCTGCCTCCTCTCTAAATGTAATATTAGCTAATATGTTAGCATAATAAAAACTAGTAAATATAAGTAGGTTTAAAGTAAAAATTAACTAAAATGTAAAACTAAATGTAGTATTAACTTACACATAAATGTAGTAGAAATAAAACACAGATTCAAACTAAAATATTAGCATAATATAAAACTAGAAAATATAAGTAGTTTGAAAGTAGACATTAACAATTTAAACTTTAAAACTGAATGTAGTTTAACTTACACCTAAATGTAGTAGAATTAAAATCTTTATAGCCTGTAACCTATGTACATTGTCATTGTTTTGCTGTCAACAATGCCTTTGTTTGCTTAGGTTGTAAACAGTAGTTAGTTTATAAATCTAATTTAAAAAAATGTTTAAATGCTAGCACTAATTTAATAGATATTCTAATTAAAAATAAAATATAAAATCATAACGACTGTAGTAGAATTAAAATAAAAGATTTAAACTAATATGTTAGCATAAAAAAAAACTAGTAAATATAAGTAGGTTTAAAGTAAAAATTAACTAAAATGTAAAACTAAATGTAGTATTAACTTACACATAAATGTAGTAGAAATAAAACACAGATTCAAACTAAAATATTAGCATAATATAAAACTAGAAAATATAAGTAGTTTGAAAGTAGACATTAACAATTTAAACTTTAAAACTGAATGTAGTTTAACTTACACCTAAATGTAGTAGAATTAAAATCTTTATAGCCTGTAACCTATCTACATTGTCATTGTTTTGCTGTCAACAATGCCTTTGTTTTCTTAGGTTGTAAACAGTAGTTAGTTTATAAATCTAATTTAAAAAAATGTCTAAATGCTAGCACTAATTTAATAGATATTCTAATTAAAAATAAAATATAAAATCATAACTACTGTAGTAGAATTAAAATAAAAGATTTAAACTAATATGTTAGCATAATAAAAACTAGTAAATATAAGTAGGTTTAAAGTAGAAATTAACTAAAATTTAAAACTAAATGTAGTATTAACTTACACATAAATGTAGTAGAAATAAAACACAGATTCAAACTAAAATGTTAGCATAATATAAAACTAGTAAATAAATGCAGGTTTAATATAGTGAACAATAAAATAATTGTAATGTCCCAAGACATGACTTTAAACTGCGCTCCTCATTATTGGCTTTTTTGGAGCTTAAAAGAGCCTTTCTTCTATTCCATCATGATGTCTGCCTCCTCTCTAAATGTAATATTAGCTAATATGTTAGCATAAAAAAAACGAGTAAATATAAGTAGGTTTAAAGTAAAAATTAACTAAAATTTAAAACTAAATGTAGTATTAACTTACACATAAATGTAGTAGAAATAAAACACAGATTCAAACTAAAATATTAGCATAATATAAAATTAGAAAATATAAGTAGTTTGAAAGTAGACATTAACAATTTCAACTTTAAAACTGAATGTAGTTTAACTTACACCTAAATGTAGTAGAATTAAAATCTTTATAGCCTGTAACCTATCTACATTATCATTGTTTTGCTATCAACAATGCCTTTGTTTGCTTAGGTTGTAAACAGTAGTTAGTTTATAAATCTAATTTTAAAAAATGTCTAAATGCTAGCACTAATTTAAAAGATATTCTAATTAAAAATAAAATATAAAATCATAACTACTGTAGTAGAATTAAAATAAAAGATTTAAACTAATATGTTAGCATAATAAAAACTAGTAAATATAAGTAGGTTTAAAGTAGAAATTAACTAAAATTTAAAACTAAATGTAGTATTAACTTACACATAAATGTAGTAGAAATAAAACACAGATTCAAACTAAAATGTTAGCATAATATAAAACTAGTAAATAAATGCAGGTTTAATATAGTGAACACTAAAATAATTGTAATGTCCCGAGACATGACGTTAAACTGCGCTCCTCTTTTTTGGCTTTTTTGGAGCTTAAAAGAGCCTTTCTTCTATTCCATCATGATGTCTGCCTCCTCTCTAAATGTAATATTAGCTAATATGTTAGCATAATAAAAACTTAAAAATATAAGTAGGTTTAAAGTAAAAATTAACTAAAATGTAAAACTAAATGTAGTATTCACTTACACATAAATGTAGTAGAAATAAAACACAGATTCAAACTAAAATATTAGCATAATATAAAACTAGAAAATATAAGTAGTTTGAAAGTAGACATTAACAATTTAAACTTTAAAACTGAATGTAGTTTAACTTACACCTAAATGTAGTAGAATTAAAATCTTTATAGCCTGTAACCTATGTACATTGTCATTGTTTTGCTGTCAACAATGCCTTTGTTTGCTTAGGTTGTAAACAGTAGTTAGTTTATAAATCTAATTTTAAAAAATGTCTAAATGCTAGCACTAATTTAATAGATATTCTAATTAAAAATAAAATATAAAATCATAACGACTGTAGTAGAATTAAAATAAAAGATTTAAACTAATATGTTAGCATAAAAAAAACTAGTAAATATAAGTAGGTTTAAAGTAAAAATTAACTAAAATGTAAAACTAAATGTAGTATTAACTTACACATAAATGTAGTAGAAATAAAACACAGATTCAAACTAAAATATTAGCATAATATAAAACTAGAAAATATAAGTAGTTTGAAAGTAGACATTAACAATTTAAACTTTAAAACTGAATGTAGTTTAACTTACACCTAAATGTAGTAGAATTAAAATCTTTATAGCCTGTAACCTATCTACATTGTCATTGTTTTGCTGTCAACAATGCCTTTGTTTTCTTAGGTTGTAAACAGTAGTTAGTTTATAAATCTAATTTAAAAAAATGTCTAAATGTTAGCACTAATTTAATAGATATTCTAATTAAAAATAAAATATAAAATCATAACTACTGTAGTAGAATTAAAATAAAAGATTTAAACAAATATGTTAGCATAATAAAAACTAGTAAATATAAGTAGGTTTAAAGTAGAAATTAACTAAAATTTAAAACTAAATGTAGTATTAACTTACACATAAATGTAGTAGAAATAAAACACAGATTCAAACTAAAATATTAGCATAATATAAAATTAGAAAATATAAGTAGTTTGAAAGTAGACATTAACAATTTAAACTTTAAAACTGAATGTAGTTTAACTTACACCTAAATGTAGTAGAATTAAAATCTTTATAGCCTGTAACCTATCTACATTATCATTGTTTTGCTGTCAACAATGCCTTTGTTTGCTTAGGTTGTAAACAGTAGTTAGTTTATAAATCTAATTTTAAAAAATGTTTAAATGCTAGCACTAATTTAATAGATATTCTAATTAAAAATAAAATATAAAATCATAATGACTGTAGTAGAATTAAAATAAAAGATTTAAACTAATATGTTAGCATAATAAAAACTAGTAAATATAAGTAGGTTTAAAGTAGAAATTAACTAAAATTTAAAACTAAATATAGTATTAACTTACACATAAATGTAGTAGAAATAAAACACAGATTCAAACTAAAATGTTAGCATAATATAAAACTAGTAAATAAATGCAGGTTTAATATAGTGAACAATAAAATAATTGTAATGTCCCAAGACATGACTTTAAACTGCGCTCCTCTTTATTGGCTTTTTTGGAGCTTAAAAGAGCCTTTCTTCTATTCCATCATGATGTCTGCCTCCTCTCTAAATGTAATATTAGCTAATATGTTACCATAAAAAAAACGAGTAAATATAAGTAGGTTTAAAGTAAAAATTAACTAAAATTTAAAACTAAATGTA